TTTGGTTCAAGGAATTTGAGAGAAAAAAGAAAAGAAAACTGAGAAGGAAAACATTTTTCTTGTTTGGTTAGAGAAGAAGAAAAAAGAAAAAAGAAAAGTGGGGAAAAAAAGAAAATAAGAAGTCAAAATGTACTAAGATGAATGAAAATCAAATCCTCCCACTTTGGTGATAGAAATGAAGGAAATCTGATTTCTTTTCTTTTCGTATCAAATTCCNCAAATTCCTTGAACCAAACCAGCCCTACAAGCAGTTGAGGAACTTCCGTAGCTTTTTAAGAGATGGAAAACGTTTGATAGTATAAATGCAAGTGCTTCTTTTGTGGACCTACGGTCCACACAATATTTGTGAATCTTCTCAACAAAAAATCAAAAATATTCTTTTTTATTTTGTATTTTTTTAAATGGAAAAATGCTCAGCTTACCACTAAGCATTTTTTAATCTCGCTCTAGGTGCACCAAATGGACCGTGAACATTGAATGCACCAAATTATAGTACTACGGTACATGATTTATGAGTTGCTTACTCTTCTCGTCTCAAATTAATCTTGAGAAATGTTAGGTTCACAAACTAAATAGTAACAAATCACACAAACTTATTATTTGTAAACTTTAATAAAAAAATAAAGTAGTCTAAAATTATTTTAAAATAAAAATTTAAACCATAAACGGTAAGTTTGTAAATTTTGTGACGATTTTGTTTGTGAACCTAACATTGCTCATTAATTTTTCCACTTTATTACTCCTAAAATAATTTTCTCATTCTTTAAAAGGATATATATTACATAATGGGCCCTCGCCAGGGGGCCACATTGTCCATTCTTTGTGCTTGCCCTTTAAATAATAAAATATAGATATTCAAAAATTACTATATTATTTTATCAATTTAATAATTAAAATGATAAATTTAACTAGGTGAATTGTAATTTAGATACATTTTTTAGAGTTGGATGAAATATAAGACTAAAATACTCCGTAAATTTTAAATAGAAATTGACAATATGTAGTTGTAGTCTAACAAGGGAGAAATACTAAAAGAAGAGTAAAACATAATGAAATTACCATAATTAGACCTTCATGTCTTTATTACAAAATAGGACCTATAATGCCAATATATAATACCAAAAAACACTGTGATATACCAATATAGAGTGTCATATTATCGCAGTGTAATAGTCTTGTTTTGGAATAAAAAAAACACTGTGAAATACCATTATAGATTGCCACATTGTTATAGTGCAATATTTCAATTTTGGTATTGAAAACACTATGAGATATAAGTATACAAAATCACATTGTCATATTGAATAATAGTCTTTCTTTTGAATAAAAAGTAAAAAAAACACAAGTGTCTTATTTTAAGAATAAAGACACCTTTTTATTTTTATTTTAAATGATTTCTTTGAAATGTGACAAAGAGGAGAGAATCTAAATATACCTGGAGTATAGAGTTTTTGGCATAACTTGAATCTCCAATGCCTTCATTCATACGCAGCACTTCGCACACTCTCATCTTTCAGACTTTATTGATCTTAATTGGCTTTCAATTAATTAGGTCTCCTTCTTCCTTCTTTTATATATAGTAGATGGATAAAAGAAGTTATTGTACCTCAGAGATGAAGATGTCTACTGGTTCCTTATTTAATTTTTTGGTTAATGTATGGCCCATCATGAAGAATTGGGGACTTGGGGTGGGTGGGGAGGACACATCTAACCTACCATGGAAAAAGTTAGGGTATATCATGTTTGTATATATCACAAATACACACACATAAGAATGATATGTGAATCTCACAGACAATTATTTAGACAATTATTATCTGTATGTGTCCGTGATATACTTTTGTGTAAGTTGGAATACAAATTTGGTGTACCCCAAACACATTTCAACCTACCATTTTAAAAGAGTCAAATTCCTAGTTGTATTGTTTACACTATACATTATCATGTTTACGTTGGAACAAAAACATGGACAACCAAAGCACATACAATAGTTCATTTGTCAGTGATGGTATTTTCTCTATGGAACCATCATAGTCCAACCTGCCTATAGTATGAAAATCATTGGGTATGAAATGTTAATCAATTCAATCATCATGTGACTGATAAATCAAAGGTAACCAGGTTTTGAAGTTTCCACCTCGTGTTTCTACCTCACATAGGTGTGTGTGTATGTACATTACACCCCCACATAAACGTTTGAATTGTCATTTTGTTTTTTAAAGGGAAGTGAAAAAAAAAAAAAAAACTTAATATAACCCTTTGGTCTATATATTTTGCTTGAGTTTCAGGAAGTTTCTTCCGCTTTTGTTTTGTAAACACAAAAGCTATTAAAAAGTATAGACTTGTTAACTTATTTAAAAGGTAATCGGCGCGGTTACTGTGACATTAAGACTAATGTTATAAGATGACCCAAACGTTGTTTCTACAATGCTCTATTTGAAAAATTAATGGGAGGGGGGGGGGGGCGGGGGGTTGGTTGGAAGGAGAGGGGAGTAGGCGGTAGAAACTATTAATTTTTGGAAGTTTCACCGTAAGAGGCTCGAATATAGCTATGACACTCAAAGTGAATGTCACATGAAAAATATATACTCCCACCGTTCCCTTAAATCCTTCCAGTTTTGACTTTTGGCCAAAATAAGGAAGGGTTAAATTGGGGAAGACTTATTTGAATTTTGATCTCAAGAGATGATAATGGTATTGTAGTTGATTGTTGAATGGAGATGATATTTTTTTAATTTAAACCATAAAATTGTTAATTTTATTTATGTGGGCTAATAGTTATTAAAGAGTTGAGTTAACTTTAAATTAATTTGGTGATTGTTTTTAGAGAACCATAGCATTGAATGTCGATGTGTACCTATTTTTGTCTTAGTGTACGCTTGGGGTACACCAAGTGAGGTCTTTCTAGCAATCACAATAAAAAAAACTTAAAAATAAGTACTTGTGCTTCTTGTGGTGGGTTATTCGTTTTTCTCTTGTTTCTTTGCAAATGATACTCCCTCGTCCAAAAATAATCTTCTTGTTCACTATATTTACAAGGTTAAATTTTATTGACTTTGTTGGTTTATTTTGTTACCCATTTAATAAAATAATATAGTCATGTCATCTTTAATTAGTTTTGTAGATCTTTTGATGAAGTTTTTTGATATGTAATTTTTATTTTTTAATTTCACACCATTTTTCATATAAAATAATTTAGAAATAACTTCAGTCAAACATCGTAACGTAAAGATAATTTTTGGAATGAGGAAATATAAATACCACTCATATGTTAGCATTGTATCTTATTCTTCACAGTGTTTGAGAGGTTGGGTTCGTTTTCCCCTAAATTTCTTGTATGCTTTGATTTAATTTAATGCTATTCTTTGATTTAAAAATTAAGAGAAAAACATATTTTAAATCGTTAAAACACTCTATTTGTGTATATAAAATCCTCAAAATCTCAAGCCATGCATATACCTAGACATTGTAAAAAATGACTCGACATGTTTTCAACCTTAGAGTTGACCTTAAAATTAAATATTGAGTTTTGAATAAAGATTTTGTTGACCAAACCCGAAACGACCAGCTAAAAATGGGTCAAACCCGACTGAATCCAAATTCGACCCAACCAACCTGCTAATGTAAGAATTTTTCAAAATCATATACTTTAATATGAAATATAATGTTATAAAATAAGATTATAATTATATATTTTTTCTTACTATTCATTTTTAATGTATAAATTTATAGTATTTCATGCAAAATTTTAATGATATCGCATAATTATCTTGTTGTTTTTGAAATTTCTGCATATTTTTTTATTCGTAATATTGACTACACAAGTCACTAGATCATAAAAATTATAAAAAATAAATAAAGGTCATAATCCTTTGAGTAGACTTGAACTCGATAACATTGGTTAATGAACATGGAATTTTCAACTCAAATCCAAATCGGACTTGAACGACCGATATAACAGCTCTACATGGTACATATATATACCCATCTAGTAGAAATAGAAGGGCGCCAAACACCAAATGACCAAATCTGTGTTTAAAAAGATCCCAAAAACCAAAATTAAAACAGGTAGGTATGAATATACATATACTCCATAACTGATAGTGATGGGACCCAAACCAAAACCCGCCAATTGAAATCCGCCCATACATACATACATAAACAAAAGAAAAAAGAATGAGGCATGTTTGGTACTTGGAATTCAAATTATAGAATTGGAATTGAGAACTTTAATTCCAATTCAGGTGTTTGGTAGCACAAAAAATCATGTAGATTTGAAATTGATAGTGCAACAAATGAATTGTGAATGAGCGATTTCAATTATAAGGAATTGAATCCCATGGAATTTCAATTCCAATTCAATTTTAATTCCATCAATTCTGTATATCAAACGGACCCTAAAGAACATTGAAAATATATCAAAATAGGACTTCCATGTTTTTATTTCCGAAATAGGAGTTAAAATGCATTTATATTACCAAACATGGTCATGTACATTACCAAAAAGTATAGTAATGTGCACATGTACAGTGCCACATTACAACCATATTATCAGAATGTGAAGTCCTATTTCAAGAATAAAAACACGGAACTCTTATTTTGGTATCTTTTTTTATGTTTTAGTCCTATTTAGGGTGAATTCTATAAACAGAAATACTCCCTCGTCCCTCCGTCCCAAAATATTTATCCAATTTTGACTTTTTTCGATTAAAATTGGTAAATTTTGATCCTAAATTAAATAAAAATGATATTAGATATTGATACAAAAATAATTTTATTAGATTTATTATATAATATGTTTTCAAAATATTATTATATCTAACTAATATACAATATATATTTTATTTAATTATAAATCAAAGATTGAAAACGTTTGACTGAAAAAACAATACATATATTTTTTAGTATAGGAAAAACATGTGGATAGCAGCCTGTCACTGCCACCACCCTTGGCCAAATGCCAACTATATAGAGGAGGAGATGAGACCCAATAATTGAATTGAAAGCCAAAAGCAATAATATAGTGACCAGAAAGATGAGAGTTTGTGAAGTGCTACGTATGAATGGAGGGATTGGAGATTCAAGTTATTCCAAAAACTCTATAATCCCGGTACGTATATATATAATTATAACCTAGAAAAGCTAGCTAAGTTTTGGCACAAAAAAGTACGGAGTATTTATATTATTAGAAAATTTATTTTTTTAAGTAGCTTACTACTACCTCCGTCCCAGTGTATATGTCCAGTTTGACTTTTTCGAGTCAAACTAGACAAACTTTGAACTCTAATTCCTCTCAATTTATATTGTATTATAGCATAATGAAATACAATTTTGAAAGTTCTCAATACGATAAATCCAATAAAGTCATTTTTATCTTAAAATACATTACGGTTTTTATTTAATTTAAGTTCATGTTTGTCCAGTTTGACTCGAAAAAGTCAAACTGGACAAATACACTGGGACGGAGGAGTACATCTTTAATTGTTTTTCGAAAAATACTCCTCGCGTTTTAAATAATTTTAAGTATTACCAGGTCCCCATATTTTCTAACATGTGCGTTTAGGCCAAGTCTCTAGAGAATATCGTACACGCATTAGAATTTGTTCTCTTCAACTACTTATTCTTATTATTTGTTACCTTTTCTGTTGGATTTAGATCAGATCAAATCTGATCAGAATTTATTTCAATCAGACCAAGTGCAGAGAACAAGCCTTTACTAGTGGGAAAATTTAATTTATGACATAACGTCAAACAAGCCTTTCGAAGGAGTAAACTTAACTAAAATTAAAATGGTATTCTCTTCACTCGAGGTCGAATTGGATCTGATCGAAGTTTTTTATATTTCGGATTAGATTTGATACGATTGAATCTAAACTGATCTAAATAGATCTGATCTGATTTAATTTAATTCAAACTATTAATTTTTATTTGTATACTTGTCATTATTACTATTATAATTGTTGTTGTTGTTATTAATACTAATACTATTGCTACTATAACTATAATAATAATAATAATAATAATAATAATAATAGTGAGATCTGACCTGAATAAATCTAATCTAATTTGATTTTAATAAAATAAGTAATAAGTAGAGATTGTTCTTTTGGACCGAAAAAGTAAACTTCCAACTTTTTAAAACTTCTTCAAGTTTCTTCTAACGTCTTAAAAAAAGTATTTATATATGATACATATACAATAACATTATGGATTCAACTTTGTAACATACCACCTTAAACATGGACAGGGATAAACTTTTTATTCAAAATTAGAATTTTCTTATATATTTATTTCTAGAGGTGTAAATGAATGTTAATCGGATGGGATGTGTCATTGTCAGATCTGTATCTGTTTATTTTTATCAGATATCAAATTTGGACATGGATCTTGACGGATGCTAAAAATTAAAACAGTATCCGTATCCGTTGGATATCGGTCAAATATCGGATATATCAATATCCATTTCCGAATTTTCAGAGTCAAATTTAACTATATACTCGGGAGTATATAAATAGTTTTAGTATATTTATTTAATTATAATTTGTTATAGAGAAATGTTTTTTGGTAATATATACTATTACAAAAATTCTATTAAGATATAAAGAAGTTTTATACTTTGAGATATTAATCAAAAAATAAAATACAAAAAAATTGGGAAAAATCATGTATAACGGATTGGATACATGGATAAAAAGTTACTCAAACGGATGTATATGCGGAGCGGATTATGAATGGATCAAATGTATGATTACCAAATCCGTATCCATTATCAACCAAATGTTCTTAATCGGATAACGGATTGTAACCGCTTTACGCGGATATGGATATTTTAATTTTTGTGTAAACGGATACGGATGCAAACGGTAATCAAATTATTGGTTATCCATTTACTACTCTATTTATTTGAGTAATCATTTAATTGAATGACTTTTAGCACTTTAATTTTTTCAACATTTTCCAATTCTTTTCAAATTTTTTCTAACTTGTTCTAGTTTTTTTCTAAGACGTTCTAATTTTTTTTTTCAACATCCAAATAATTTCCCATTTTTATGGGAAGCCTTTCCCGACCCGAATCACATAGGCTTAAAGCTATACGCATATCCATCAATCTAAGTGGGCTAGGCCACCCACATAGCTTTTGGGTCCAAGAATGACATCATAAAAATGACGTCACGTTGGCAACAATTTTACAACGAAAAAGAGGAATTAACAAAAATAATCTAACACAACCAAAAATAAGAAAATATACAAAAAAAAAAGTTAGTTATAATAGTATCTTCCATTTAACGACACATTACGTATGTTCAAATGTGAAGCACAAAAATAATGGTGTATAATTGGGGAGATGCTACGAGTACACCAAAGGTGTACCCCAAATGTACACCACTTGTCTCTACACCATTCATTTTATTTTGTTTTTATTTTTTATTTATTTTTTTTGAATTTTACATGCCTTTTTTTTGTGGTTATGGAAGGGGTGGGGGATATTTGGGGTACATTTTTGGTGTACCCCTAACATTTTCCTTATAATTGACACCACATTATGAACAATATTAATATATTTTTAAAAATAAGCAGGCCTGCCAATCATAATGGGCCAATATTAATTATCATACTCACCCTTATAAAAGCCTGACCCAGCCCGACACACCCATATGAGTAATAATTGTTGCCCATGTTTGCCCATATATGAGGGCGGTTTGGACGGCCGTACAAGCCGACCTTTGTTTGCATAGGTCTAACCATAAGGTAGACTTAAGGTTGAGTAGATTTCTTTCGTATGATACTGTTGATCACAAGTCACGGGTTTGAAATTGGGGAATCTACCTAAATAGTATTAAAACATAGTAACTTTTCCAATGTAGTACCATATGTTTGTATTTCCGAATGTAGTACCACTGGTCATTGCTCAAGTAAATGTCTGTCTTCACTGGAAATTATTCAAACTAAGTTTCCACCATCACTGGACATTGTTTCTGCCACTGACATTTTTCAAGTACTATATAGAAAATAAAAAAGTTTAAGTACTACATTGAGAAATAACATATCTTTTAGTACCATTTAGTGCAAATTTCACTTTGAAATTTATCGTCATCCACGTGAGGGCGCAAGAGATTTTATAATCGAGTTAATTCTTTGACATTTTTCTTCAACTAACTCACGATACAACCACTCTACCTTCAATAGTCCATGAGAGCTTACCTTTTAAACATGAAATATTTGTATTAAATACTCCGTAGCATTAAAACGTAAGTCATTTCCCTAAATAGCACTTAAATTATTTTATTCCCTAAATAGCACTTAATAATGTCCAGTGATGGTGAATACTTGCCTGAATAATGACTAATGCATAATGACTAAAAATGCTACATTGGAAAGAAAAACACACGTGGTGCTATTTAAGAAAAGTCATTATGTTTTAGTGCTATTTAATTAAATTCTTCTTTAAACATTCCTTTTAATAATTTCATTGAACTCTCTTTGATACATAGAAAAAGGCGTTGAGTTTGACGATGCCAATAATAGAGAAAGTCGTGACAACTATGTACACCAAACTCAGGCCACGCACGGTCTCCATCGCCGACCTCGGCTGCTCTTCTGGAACAAATGCTTTTGGGGCAGTCTCCGGGATCATGAAAGCCATAGACTGTGTCCGAAAGAAGCTCCGGCTTCAATCGCCGGAATATAACATATACTTGAACGACCTTCCGGGCAACGACTTCAACGCCATATTCGGATCATGGCCTCAGCATTTACAAGACTTGAAGAAAGAGATGGGAGAAGGGTTTGATGGAGAATGTTTCTGCAATGGAGTTCCTGGATCCTTTTATGAGAGGCTCTTTCCTACCAATTCTCTGCATTTCGTTCATTCTTCTTATAGTCTCATGTGGCTATCTCAGGTATATACATTAATTTTTTTCATGTCAAGTACTCTCAATGTCGTCTGCCATAGATTTTTCAAAATGTCCTTTTTATTTATCTAAAATGATCTTAATATCGTTTTTAACATTTAAAATATCACAAACACACTTCTTTTTATTTCACTTCATTCAATATACTTCACCCAACTTCTTTAAAAATATTTTAGTAAATTTTTACCCTTTTCAAATCTTCTTAAAAATCACAAAAAGTCAACTTGGGAAAATCTATGGCGGATGAAATGAGTAGTATTCGTATATATATATACTTCCTTTGTCCCGAAAAAAATTCATAATTTGACTTTTTTTATCAGATTGCGCAATACCTCAACCGTAAATTTAATATATTTTTCACAAATAAATGTTATAAAAATTTTATTCTTTGTATTACGTCTATCAAAATGCCAAAATACACTCTTCTTTTTTGGGAGACCATTCATCTTCCACTATTTTTCTGCTACCATTGAATTGCATTCTAGAGCAATTTGAGAAGGAAGAAAGAAAGGGCTAATCGCGCACTGCTGCCGTCCGTCCGGCTCGGCTTGACACGACTTTGTAACGAGGGTGTGGACCAACTCCTATCTTTTTATGAGACCGAATCGAACGCGACGCGTTGTGACGAGCGCATGGACCAACTCCTATCTGTTTTAGAAAGAGACGATTTCTTTCTCATCTTTTTCATCATACGTTTTGGCATAGATTAATTTACTTATATTAGAAAATAATATAAAAATTACTCCCTCCGTCCATAAAACTCTTCACATTTCGTTTTTTCCAATTCTCTAAAACACTTCTATTTTCTATTAAAAACCACTTTTACCCCTACTTATTCATACCCTACCTATCACATCATACTTTTTCACTAATAACCAAACTATCATATCTTACTTTTATCCATTACATCAGGGGCAAAATTGGAAAGTCAACCAAAATTACACTTTCCTTATTATGACCCAAAGTCAAAATAGGAAGTGTTTAAAGGAACGGATGGAGTACATTTTTAGGGTAAAACTTTTTGTCTTTGAAAAACTGTATGGGATATAAGAAGTAGTAGTCTTGTATCCATTATTGTCCAGACATCATATCTTCATATTTCTTTATCTATTAAATTTTAAATTCAATGTGTTATTCGTAAAGAGCTAATACTCCCTCCGTCCAACAATAAAGTTCCCACTTTCCTTTTTGGAATGTCCACAATTAATGTTCCCATTTCTATTTTTGGAAAGTTTTTCATACCCAAAAGTCTAAATTACCCTCCCACCCACTCCCTATCTTTTCTTTTTCTTTTTCTTTTCCCTACCCCATCCGTTTCCTTTCTCATCCATCACTTTTTCTCTCTTCTCTCTCTTCTTCTCCTTCTCTCTTTTCTTATCTTCTTCTTCTTTTTGTTCTTTCTTCTCTTTTCCACTTCTGATTTTTTCTTGTAAATTGAGAGCAATGAAGCAGCGATTGGGGTGGCGGTGGGGCAGCGAGGCGGTGGCGGTGGCGGTCGTCGTAGGTGATAGGGTGGTCCCATCTCCTCCTCTTCTTCTTCTTCAATTCCCATGGTCTAATGCCCAATCCATCTTCAACTCTTCTCCTTTCTTTTCTTTTTTCTTGTCCATCTCCGTCAGATTTGAATTTCGATTCAGATAGCGTTGCCAACAAAATCGGCAGTGGTGGCGGAGATTAGGCACCGATTGATGATGGTGTGTTGGACCGGAGGGGCGGAGCCCTAGATTTCTACCGGCGGTCGGAGATGGCGTGGTAGGCCCACCAAGGATGAGAATGGCGGAGCAGGGAGGTTTTGACTGGGAAGGGCATCTGATTGTACACACAGAAAAATGGGTGGACAAAAAAAAGAAGAAAAGAGAAGGGATGGGGAATGGAGGGGTATTTTAGGAAAGTCAGAGTAATTTTTATGTTTTATTAAACTTCGTGTCAAATCAAAGTGAGAACTTTAATCTTGGACGGAGGAGAATAAAAGGAACATTTACTTTAATCTTGTTTTATTGGATCCTATTTATTGCCACGTTGCCATTAGGTACCAAGAGGAGCAGAGGAGAATAAAAGGAACATTTACTTGGCACCAAACACCCCGCCTTGTGTGGTTAAAGCATACTACGAGCAATTTGAAAGAGATTTTGAGACATTTTTAAAGTGTAGGGCCAAGGAGTTAGTGACTGGTGGGGCTATGGTTTTAACGATTTTAGGCAGGATAAGTGAAGACCCATGCAGCAGAGAAGGTTGTCATATTTGGGAACTCTTAGGATTGGCCCTCAGTGATCTTGTTGAACAGGTATTTTTGAAATGAGGTGTTTCTTCCTTCTAGTTTTTATTAGTTTGTTGCTCATAAGTACTCCCTCTGTCCAGAAATAAAGTTTTCGTTCTATGTTACGATGGTTGATTGAAGTTTAAAAAAATGAAAACTACATATTTAAAAACTAGATGAGAAGATTTACAAAACTAGATGTGACATGACAATATTATTTTATCAAATAACACACGAAAATAGGCCAACAAAGTAAATAAAGTTTGATCCTGTGAATAGTGTGTGAAAACTTTATTGTTGGACAGAGGAAGAGTTTTTAACTTATAAGTTGTTTTTAAATTGAATGTTCTTTCGTAGAAGTAAAATGTCTTAAATGAGAGATATGTCATTTGGGAATATCCATAAAAGGTGGAGATCATTTTATAATTAATTTGGTCAAAATGGAGAAACGAAAAAAATTAATTAAAAATAAGAAGTTAGTCCTACTTATTTTTTGACTTATAAGCGCTTATAAGCACATTGAAATATGTCATAATTAACTTAGAAGTTAAAAACAATTTATAAACACTTTTGACCAGCTTATAAGCACACAGAGAAACACCCACAAAACTAAACTTTAGATATCATTTCTTAGCTACTAGGCCAGCCTAGCCCAACAAGTTGGGCCCACTCTCTATATTATGGCTGAAAGCATAGTTTTAAAAACTGGACCGGACCGGCCGGTTCGGACCGTGAACCGGCGAACCGGTGGTCCAACCGGTCCAGTCCGGCCCATTGGACCGTAACCTGCTTCGAACCGGCCCAAACCGGTAAGAACCGGCCGCTCGGACCGGTCCGCCCAGTTTTTTTTTTTTTTTTTTTTGCTGATTTTTTTCCAAAAAATGCCTCCATGGGGGTTTGAACCCAAAAACCTCTTAGACATTAGGTTGAGCTCCTAACCATCCAAGCAATGGTGCTTTTTGTTACAAGTTCACATAATCTTTTATAATATTCCATAAATACAAAAAAGATTGTATATAAATTCCTTTTCAATTTTATTAATATTATATAGCTATGAGTCAAACACAAAATCATTGATATTATTCATACTATTACAAAATGCAAATCATGCAAAGATTTCATTTTTTTAATATTAAACAACTTATTTGAAAAAAATAAAATCAGCTCTTCATTTAAAATTCTTTTATATTTTTTTAATATGTAAATTTTATTTTTTAATTTTATAAAATAACTCAAGTATATTAATATATTATTACTTATATGTTATAAATTACTTTCTTTAGATATTTATAAATGAGAATGTGTGTGTCTATGTGTATGTATGTATGTGTGTGTAAATATATATACATATAAATATACATACACACACATATATATATTTATTTATTTATATTTATATAATTTTGAAATATGTTTAAACCACTGGTTCGACAAGTTGAACCACTGGTTCGACCAGTAAACCAGTGAACCAGTACCTTGACCGGTTCGATCACCGGTCCGGTTCTGAAAACTATGGCTGAAAGGGCTCTATGTTAAGTCCTAGCGGGTGCACACAAATAGTTATTACATTGAACAAAACTCTCATAGGTCGCTGCCGGAATTCGATCTTGAGATCTCGAGCTTGGCATTCTCACTAAGGACCATCTAATCACCCATGCGGCACAATTCAATAAAAATTAAAGAATAGGCATAACAAAAAGAACACATCTATTTTTTAAACATATATGTAAGATACGCATCATAAAATTAGCTTATGCACATTTACAAATGGAAGAACTCCCTAAAAGGAATTTAAAAAAATGGAAATATTAAAATATGAGCATAATTCTTTTTGTGACCTGAATAAGAATTCACTTTGCCACTGCCACACTGCAAACTCTCATGCTCCACTGTCACTGAGCTCCGCCGCTAGTGTTGACCAATGCTGACCAATGGTCCACCACCACACATCATCAACACACTGCCACCATTTGAACTGCAACCATTTACACTGACAAATTCCTATTAGAGGATAAATAATAGAAAATTATTCTAGGATACCTTTAATTTTCTAATAATAACTCTCAGGTCTCACATTATCTGAAATATGCCCTAGAGTACTCTCAATTTTCTAGTTAAGACTTTTAGTTTCTACATTATCTAAAATATACTCTAAGATCCTTAAAGTTTGTGATTTTATACTCCGAGGGTACAATATGTTCACTTAGATGTTACGATTGAAAGTTCTTTTATTTTGACTAGTAGTTCTTTTACTTTGACAAATTAAAGGATTTTTTAGATCCAGTAAAACAATGACGATTCAAGTAACATTACCACTAATTTTAAGGACCCCAATATATATTTTGGATAGTGTGGAACCTAAGAGTTCTTACTAGAAGATCAACGGTACCCCGAAATATATTTTAGATAACGTGAGACCTGTGAGTTATTACTAGAACGTGGGTACCACAGTGTAATTTTCTATATATATATATATATATATATATATATATATATATATATATATATATATATATTAGTGACAACAAATCATTGCAGGGATTGATAAAAGAAAATAAATTAAATTCATTCAACATTCCTTTGTACACACCATCTCCGACGGAAGTGAAGTACATCGTTGAAAATGAAGGGTCCTTTTCTATCAACTCCTTGGAAGTTACATATGTTCATTGGGATCCTTCTCAATTTTCGGACGAAAATGGATGCAAAGAAGAAGGATACAATGTTGCCAAGTGTATGAGAGCAGTGTCAGAACCATTGCTTCTTGCTCATTTCGGTGAAGATATTATTGAAAAAATCATGCATCAGTACCGAAAGAATATTGTGGATTCTTTGTCTAAAGGAAATATTCGTTTTTTCAATGTTGTTATCTCGGTCACAAAAATATGTAAATCATGAAAACAATTATGTGTAATAATTTACATGGCCAAAAACTAAGTATTGGTTTTAATCTAATAATATCATCACCAATTCCGTGCTTTTAAGCTCTGTTCTTTTCAAATCTCACTCTTAACTTCTACTCCGTAATAGTTTTCAATTATTTCCCGCTTGTTCTAACTATTTCCAAGTATTTTCAATTCCATGCCTTTTCTCATACTTCTTTAAATTTTTTCCTATTCCTAATTTCTTCGAGCCCGCTCCAGTTTTTCTAATTCTTTCTAGTTTTTTCATCTTTTTCCAACAATGGTATAAAGAGTTATTTATATATATTTTCATATTGTTATTATTATTATTATTTATATTATTATCTTAATAAAATAAAAAATGATTTAATGTCATTATTTATTTAAAAATATTTTAGTTACCATTATAGAGTCAATCGACATAATGTATTAAAATCTTAAATTATTAATTTATAATTATATTTGTGATTTTGAAAATTTCAATTATGTTTCATTGAAATATTTTATTCCTCGATCCTAAAATAATTTACTCCGTACTTCTATACTATTACAATGTCTTGATAATATTTTTTTACTCGCATGTTTTCATTAATCATTTGATAAAATAAAATATTCATGTTACTAATAAGACTGCTGGATTGCTAGACTTAAAGAAATTTGTCTTTCTATTACCAGCATGGGTAAATTTCTACATCAAAGGTGTGCATGTCATGTTTTTTAATTTATGTGTTTTACAGAGATTAGAAGCTATGGGGGGGAGAGTTTTGACCAATATTAGAGGTGGGTTAAAAAATATTTGGGGTAGTCGTGTTAATGCGAAAGCGTGGAAGTTGTACTGGAAATCTAGGGAAAGAAAACCAATAACATTTGCTAAAGATATCACCATTAGATGGAATAATACATATAAGTTGACTGCACAGATTCTAAGCTACAAAGACAAACTTGCTGCATTTCTTAGGAATGAACTTAATTATATGATTCAATTGAATGAATTTATTATCGTTGAAAAATTAATTCCGTATTAGAAGTTTTTAATAACGCAACTTTTACTTTCTCGCATGTTTACCAACCTACTACAAACAGATTTTTTAAAGAGTGTGCTACAATTGCAACATGTTTTCGTGAAAGCTTATCTAATCCACAGTTGTACCCCTATGTCACTCCTATGAGAGATAAATGGTGTTCTTATTATTTGTATATTCTGATATTTATAAAATTGGTATTATTTGTGATCTTCGCTTTAAAATTGAAAATTTTCAAATTCTGATTGAGTATTACTATACTTGTTTAATTTTTTAGATGAAAATAATTATTACTACAATCATTTAATAGAATGGATCGGACAAAAGAAAGAGATAATGTGATTGATCTTTTTGAGGCTTTATTAAAGAATTTCAAGCAATTTACGGTAATGCATCGGATGAAATGAAACAACACCTCTTCCACCTCCCATAGTAAAAAAAGATTTTAAAAGGATAGTTGGTCGCCTTTTGGCAAAAAAGGTAAGCGTGGTCACGCTTCGACGAGTTCAGGTGGTACTATTGTAAGGTCGCACAACGAACTTGCTACATACCAAGGGTTGCCATTTGATTACGACGACAACGACATGGACTTTGACATCCTCAAATGGTAGAAGCGGAATGAACACATGTTCCCATCTCTCAGAATGCTAGACAGACAAGTTTTATCCGTCCCAGTTTCAACCATAGCAGTGGAACATGAATTCAGTTCTTGCGGCAATATTCTAACCGACTACCGAAGTTGTCTTAGCGTTGAATCGCTTGAGACACTTGCTTGCAATCGAGATTGGCTCTTGGCAAGACGTCGAGCTCAAGAGTCAGGATACAACAATAATGCCGAACATTATATGAATGCAACCACAATTGGAAGCCCTAGTTTCGAGGAATAAGTTATAAACTATTTTTTATATTAATGTAAATAGTTTTTTTAGGTGATCGATATATAAGCTCTTTTGAGGGTTTCTTTACGGTTCTTTATCTCGTCGCTTTTTTGAACCGTCAACTGGATATTAAATGTAGTTGTTCGTGTATTACTCATTTAACAATAATTAAATAACAACTACAATTTAAGATATTTTATTTCATTATTTCCTTTAAGATTTACACTTTTATAATATTTTTTTAAAAATATAAGGTGGCGGAAACCGGCCGGTATAGTACCGGAACCGCTGGTACTAGAGCCGGCGCCGGAATCGTAGCGTGTCCGTGTCCACCCCTAGACTAAACAATACAAAAAAAAACCAACCAAAACTGCATCAACTACATTATACCCACAGTTTTCAGAACCAGACCGGTGACCGAACCGGTCAAGGTATTGGTTCACTGGTTCACCGGTCGAACCAGTGGTTCAACTGGTCGAACCGGTGGTTTAAACATTTTTAAAAATTATATATATAAATAAATAAAGAAACATATATATATATATATATATATATATATGTATGTATGTATGTATGTATGTATGTATAAACATACATATAGACACACACACATTCTCATTTATAAATATCTAAAGAAAGTAATTTATAACATTTGATTAAAATTATATTAAAATATTTGAGTTATTTTACTAAGTTAAAAAATAAAATTTACATATTAGAAAAAGAATATTTAAAATTTTATAAATGAACACTAGATTTTATTTTTTCAAATAAGTTGTTTAATTTTAAAAAAACCTTAAATGAAATCTTTGCATGATATCCATTTTGTAATAATATCAATAGGATCAATGATTTTGTGTTTGATTCATAGCTATATAAAATTATATTTTTAAAATTGAAAAGAAATTTTTATACAATACTTTTTTAATTATGAAATATTATAAAAGAATAAGTGAATGTGTAACAAAAAGCATCCTTGCTTTGATGGTTAGACACTCAACCAAATGTCAAAGAAATCTTAGGTTCAAACCCCCATGGTTTCATGTTTTGGAAAAAAATGCAAAAAAAAAAAAAAGGTTCGGCCGGTCCGGTCCGGTTTTTAAAACTATGATTATACCTACTTTTTGTAGATTAAAAAAAACTATCCTAGTGAAACCTCTTTTTTAATCTCCTCTTGGTGAAGCTTGCCATTTCTAGCCCTTCAAATGCTATAAGTCTATAACAGACCCGAGTGAAACTACATTATATTCATCTTGACATTCCTCCATATCAAATTTGGTTTTGTTCTTACTGAGATTTGGATTTAGACTATCTTCTTTTGAGTTCGAAAGATTTAACTCCCAACATTTTTTTATTCGTTCAACTCCTTCCAGTTGCTTCCAATAACGATTTAAAAAAAATGTATTTATAAGGAATTGTAACAAAATGGAGGATTACTCCGTATTTTGGAGGATTTAAAAAAGGAATTTAATTAAAACAAAATGGAGTAAGCTTTCCGTACAAATACTGCCATTGTTTAGTGATATGACTTATCATCCTGGAAGTTACATAGCACTATATATAGCAGTTGATATCACCTTTCAACAGTTTGGTGATTTCACCCTATTTAATCAATCCGAAATTTTGTTTATTAAGAAACAAGTAACAACCTTTTTTTATGAAACGTATCTCCTAAGAAAAAAGAAACTATAATCTCCAGATAATTGATTGAAAGTTGGATTAGACCATGTTCTCTTCAATTTATTTTTCAACTTATTGCTTATGCTTATTAGAATCAGATCAGTTCAAACCCATTAATTCAAATTACACCAGATCAATTCAGTTAAGATCAGATTATCTAAGATCTTATCAAATCAGATTATATCAACAACTTGAAATTATACTACATTTAGATTTCATAAAACACATCCATTCAAATCAGATCGGTGCTTGGAAAGAAAGATTTTTTATTACTAATCTTTGTAGGAAATCTGAGAGGAGCAAAAATGCTGCGTAGTAGTATTAGATAATGAATGGATTACGAAGAAACGTGAAGAAATTTTACAAACCAAACGAATCGTGTAATCGTTTTCACATGAAAGTTAGTTAATTAGGAACTTCAAGTGCAATTAAAATTTTGTTCTTTTAGGTTTGAACTCTTACTTCAAATATTTTTAACTATTTATGACTTCTGTATTTCGTCATCAGTGGTGGAGCCACTTCATTAACTTTGAGAGAGTATATAATTAGAGACATAATTTTTTATTAATTAAATTATACCTCTAACTTAAATTTAAAAAATATAAAAAGTGAAATACCCGACATGACACAAGGTCAAAAAAAGCTGTTCGCGGAAAGGTATCCAATATCCATAAAAGGACTAGCAAACGTACGTAATATTTGATAATAAAGAATTAAATATGAAAAACTTTCTATTATAAAGGACCATTATTTAAGTAAATTCCTCTTATTAAATTTACTCATTGGAAAAAAACGGAAAAGAATTAAAAAAAATACAAAGTATTTAAAGTTAAGAGTTGGAACTGAAAAAGTAAAAGGCGCTACCTATTTTTTGTGCAGAAGTGAAAGGCGCGCGCAATCTATAAAGGAGAGTTATGTGTGTGTAGGATTTGTAGGGAGAGTGAACTCAAAGCCAAAATACATTAAAACGTGAGAAAGATGAGAGTTTGCGAAGTGCTACGTATGAATGGACGGGTTGGAGATTCATATTCTGAAAACGCTATACTCCACGTATAAGTTTCAGGGGTGAGCAAGTACCGAATCGATACCGAAATTTCTCGAAAAAACTAAAAATACCGAACCGAAAAATACCGAATCGAAAAAGTACCGAGAAGGAACCGAACCATACCGAACCGAATGGTCGGTACGGTATTTGGGAACAGTACGAGAGGACGTCCATACCGAAAATCCTGAACCGAACATATATACTAAAATATTATAAAAATAATACTTCGGAGTAATATTTTTATATTCCTTCACTAAATAGTATTTTGGGTAATTTTTTAAAAAAAATTGGTTCAAGTTTTATTATGTGTAAATTATACTTTTATTTGAGTTTTAATTTTTGTGTGTGAATATAAAAGTATTCACAAAGATTCAAAATACTCCTTTATTGTCGTTCATTTTTTTAGTTTGTGAAATATAAACTAAGTTTTGATACGCATCTCTTGCATTTAAATATTCATTTTTGTAATATTTCATGTTTTTTTATTTAAATTCACTTTTTAATTTTCAAAAATAAAGGGCATTGTTAAGTTTTAACGTGTAAAGTAGGTATGTATATTCATCCCGATTTGTACCGAAACTGATACTGAACCATCCCAAACCATACCGAACCGATATTTCGGGGTTGGGATTGGTACGGGGTAAAATCACATACCGAACCGATATACTCCCTCCGTCCCCCTGTATTTGTCCACATTTGACTTTTGGAACTGTTCATCTAAGCACTTTGACTCATCAAATTCTCTCAATGTGTAAGTCTAAATATAGTCATGTGTGATCTTGTTTGATTTGTCTTAACATATAGATTATTAATATATAATTTTTATAATTTTTTAATATACAAATTACAAGATAAAATGGATTAAAGAAGTGCATTGGATGATGTGTAAAAATGAAAGTAGACAAATACAGGGGGATGGAGGGAGTATTTGGTACGGTATCGGTACGAGCTAAATACCGTACCATACCGTACCATGTTCACCCCTAATAAGTTTTTTTTTAAAAAGCCAATTTTTTGTCTAAAAATAAAAGAAACGCAATTGGATAGAATTGTAGAAGGAGGTCGGTTCGGGTTTCAATTTTTTTTTTTTGAATTATGTAGGAAATAATTGTTTTTTTGAGGAAATGTAAGGAATAATTGTTGGTAAATATGTACTCTACGTTAAATAGAGTTGATTTAAAAACTTTATCCAAAACGCTAACGCTAATTGAAAACGCTGTTCCCAAACAAAGCCAAGGAACACTCGTGAAAAACGCTACGATCATATGAGTTGTAATTTGCACATTTTATTTCTAAACCAATTTGCAAATAAAATAGTCTTAAAAAATGTGATTTTGCACCAATTTGCAAATAAAATAGTCTTAAAATAGTCTTAAACGGAAAAGAAATTATTAGAAAGGGGAAAATTTGTTAGAGTTAAATGCATAAATAGTGTATGTACTTTTAAAAGTTGCAAAGTAGTTTCTGTGGTCAAAGAACTGATGCATAATTATTCCCTTCTTTAAGGAAAGCATAAAGCACGCAGAACATAGGCATACTGTGTGAAAATGTGAAGCATGTAACAGAAAAAAAAAGTTTATCCCATTAAATTACTCACGTCTTCGTGGTTAAAGACAACGAATGGTCCTTTGCTAACTCTGTTCTCACATGATTTTACTTTAGAAATAAAGCTACTTAAAAAACAGAATAATGTTAAGCTCATATAAGACATTGTACTACGATTCAAGAATATATATATCACTATAGAAGAGATAGAGAATTTGTTGTAAGAGCTAAACTAAAAGATGGAAGATATTGTACTATGGTTCAAAGTTACACATCACAACTAAAATTTCAAATTTACTTTTTTTTACTGTTACATGATTCAAGCTTTTGCATCATACACGCGTGTTGTGTACATTTTATGAATTTTCTAATATAGGAACTAATTAAGCTATGCTTGTTTGACCATAGGGACTATTTGATAAATTTTAAATGTTTGAAGACTATTTATCTACTTATGAAACACCACAGGGACTATATGCATATAACTCAATTTGTTATATCAATTAGATAAAATAATATTATGAAATTATTTGGTAATATAAATTTGATAAAAAATTTTCTGTATCAATATCCAAATAGTGAAATTTGCACTAAATAGGACTAAAACATAAGTCATTTCCCAATGTAGGACTTAAAACTTTTTTATTTCCTAATAGGACTTAATAATGTCTCGTAAGTGGAATAATGTCCAGTAATAATGGACATTTAGTTGAATAATGACTAATTGATAATGCCCAAAGGTCCTACATTGGGAAATAAAAACATATGGTTCTATATTGAGAAAGTCATTATGTTTTAGTCCTATTTACGTAAATTTCTCAATCTAATAATCACATCTAAATTGCTTAAAAGTTACTACATTTTATTGCCTAAAATTTTTCAAAAGATCCACTCATTTCATTTTTTGCGCACCTCATAGAACACTTCTACCCACATCTAAATTGCCTAAAATTTACCACATTTACCCTTTACTGTGGACAGAAGTTGTTTTAAAAATTTTTTTGGCATTTGAGACTAGATAAAAGTGTTGTATGTGATGTGCAAAAAATGAAATAGATAGCTTAGATCTGTTTTGGACGGAGGGATTATCAATTTCTTTTGTTTTATCATGAAAGTTTTGCTAATTTTAAATGCAAAAAGTAAACAATGGACAAACACTTCAAGAACATATATTTAATTTTAATTTGCAAGTTATGAATGTTTTAATTGAACTTACAAGATTATTTAACGATCGAACAGAAAAAGGGATTGCTTTTCACAAAACCAAATAGCAGGAAAGGCCACAAAGCTCAGGCCGGCCACAGACGGTCTCGATCCATTGCGGACCTCGGCTGCTCCTCGGGACCAAATGCATTCTCCGCGCGCCGTCTCCGACCTCATCAAAGCGATACACCACTGCTGGTGGGGGAATGGTTTTAACAATTGCTGGGCGGAAAGGTGGTGAAGATCCATGGCCATGCAGAAGGGAATGGTTTTATCTTTGGGAAGTCTTAGGAAATAGGAATGGCCCTCAGTGATCTGGTTGACCAGGTATTTTGGAGGCTGAATGACTACAATTATAAAGGAGTGTTTATAGAGTTTACTCAGACTTAAAATTTTAAATTTAAAATGTAAACATCTAAAACTCGGATCAAGAAATCTATGTACGTAGTATTAAGCAAGAAATGATCTGATTGTGTCGCTATAACAAATAATTAAAGAAAATAGACAATAAGGCCTGCAAGGGTAGCTTAGTTGGTTTCGTAAGAGGTAGATTTACAACAAGGCGCAAGGTTGATTCTCCGCAGCATGGAGTGTGGGAGTGATATTTTGAGGCCTATTTGGGCTATAAAAATGGACTCCTTGCATGTCTGTGGGGCGGGACTTCCCCTTTAACAGGGCGCTAAGCCTTGATTAATTACCTCCCTCCACATACCTCGTCGGGCTGGGGTGTGGGAGGCCTTGGGGTTGGGGATTCAACGTTTTTGCAACAAGAAAATAAACAATAAAAGAATATACTACCTCCGTCCCGTAAAACATTTCTCCTTTCTTTTTTTATTCGTCCCACAAAACACTTCTTATTTCTATTAAAAAGTCACTTTTACCCCTTACTTTTTCATACCCTAACTATCACATCATACCTTTTAACTAATAATCTATCCATCAAATCATACTTTTACCCATCACATCAAAGGACATTTTTGGAAATTCAATACCAAAATACACTCCCTTAAATCCCTCCTAAAAAGCAAATGTCCCAAGTTTCACGGGACGGAGGTAGTATATGATTTGAATTTAAGTATGTGAATAATGAACGAGACAAGCTACATGTTATAAATAAAAGAACTTACAGTTCTTCGTATTTGATAATAGTTTAAAACTTAAAGTCGAGGTTTTTTAGTGTTTAATGAGCATTTTCCTTTAATTAGTCTATCTTTTTTCTTGAAAGGAAATGAATATCATTATACAATGATATCAAAGTTTAAAGCATCACAAATATATGTTGGAGACTACTGTTGATATGTTTCTGAACCTAATGGCGCACAATGAACTAATACCCCCACCTCCATTGGGACTCCAACATGGGGAGTGGGTTTCCTGCCACCGTAGGTGCCCCAAAAAACCTGGGACAAATAAATTTTACAAGAAAAAATAAATTAAAAGGGAAAAAAAATCCCCAACTTTGTGAAGAAAAGGTTAGAAGCTTTTGACTCTTTTTCCTTTCTAATTCCTTAAACCAAACATAGCATTAGCACTTAGGATTGAAGAGAACATACTCGTATCTCTTAGAAGTAATAATCACTGTGTAAAAATATGTATTCTCTATCAGAAAATTACTGATATAATTGTAGGGATTGATAGAAGAAGAAAAGTTGAATTCTTTCAACGTTCCTTATTACACACCATCTCCAAGTGAAGTAAAGTACATAATTGAAAATGAGGGCTCCTTCTCCATCAACTCCTTGGAAGTTACATACGTTCATTGGGATCCTTCTGAGTTCGTTGACGAGAATAAGTTGGGAATTGGAAAAAGAAGGGTACAACATTGCCAAGTGTTTGAGAGCGGTGTCTGAACCATTACTTCTTACTCATTTTGGAAAGGATGTTATCGAGAAAATTATGCGTCAGCATCGAAAGAACATTGTGCATTCTCTCTCTAAAGGAAATATTGATTTTTACAGTGTCGTTGTCACTGTGACGAAAAATTTGTAATTCATGAAAACAAATTTGTGTAATTTAATTTACATGGCCAAACTCGGTGTCCTATTGATAAGGGGGGTCTATTAGTCTACTGCCTTAGATCCAATAATAATATAGAGTATCATAATAAATGGAAACTAATTCTGTGTATTTTAGTGTCTATATTGAGTATTGTAGTTGACTTTCCAATTTTGGCCTTAATGTGATGGGTAAAAGTAAGATGTGATAGTTTAGTTGTTAGTGAAAAAGTATGATGTGATAGGTAGGGTATGAAAAAGTAGGGGTAAAAGTGGTTTTTTAATAGAAAGGGGAAGTGTTTTAAGAAAAACAAAAAAATGAAAGAGGAAGGGTTTTATGAAATAGAAGGAGTACTAAATACGGAGTATAAAAAAAGCAAAGACATTAAAAGTTAAAACAGTAAAACCTCTACCCTTTGCCCAAATAAATACGAAGTACACTAAAAAACACACTACCCCACACTGTCAACCTTACCTTCACCAATTGGGAATAGTTTTTTTTTTTCTTGCACTGATCCGGAAAACACCCCCAAAATGTCCAAACCCACCTAGAATAATTGATTGACTAAAAACCCACAGCAAGTAGATCACAATTATTAGAGAAAACGAGCCAAGTAGTAATCCATTCTGAACCGAGTTTATTGGTACAGAAAATCAACTGAACCATTCCCAAAAGCAAGAAGCTGAGGAGACTGCAGCATAGAGTTTACTGCCAACCAGAAGCCCAGGACTGCCCATTTTCATATCAAATTAATGTAAACAATGCATAATAAGAAAACCTCACCCTGCCCGGAATAAAAAGAAACTACTTGCCCAGGACAGCCCTGCAAACTAATTCGCAACCGGAAGTTGTTAAATCATTCCTCTTAGGTTTCACCTGAAAAAAATTCAGCTACAGTGTCTTTATCTGCAGTAGAACAAGATAGAAATACAGGATATTTAGCTCCCTCTATGTTTATCATGCTCACAATCTCCATGCTTCTAACTGTTTCTCTAGTTGCCCGTGAAGCTTTTCCATGTTGGTTTCGAAGTAATCCCTTCTTGAGATCATCGAATAAAACTTTCTTTGCCAATGCCTCTTTCAATTGGTTCTCAACTTCCTTAAAGAGAGCTTCAAAATATACTTGGAAGACTGGTTGGAAGAGAGTTTCAGTTTCTTCATCGATCTCCCCATTCGAGTCCAAATAGGAGTAATGACCCTGTTCTGATCTTGTAGCCAACCCAATGTCATGTTCTAGCAGGTCTGAGGAGATTGATGGCTTCCTTTTTGCTTCTTCAATGTCTTCCACAGGACCTTCTAAAATAGAATTCTGCCCCTGACTTGAAGGAGTTGATTCCCTTATGACCATTTCAATGTCATGTTCAAGAAGCTCCGAGGATATTGAGGGCAGTCTCTTGTCCTCTTCCACCTCCCCTACCGGTTGCACTTTGCTAGCTAGTGTCCCTTTGAGGATTTGAAGCCTCAATTTCGATGTTATTACTAAAAGAATCCTTATCATTACCCCCTTGGATTATATATATACTAGATTCTAACCCGTGCGATGCACGGTAAAAATATCATATAACAAAAAATTAAATAAAATATATAAAAATCCATGATTAGGGATAAAATGATAAGTCACTAAACTTCATTATATACTCCGTAAATAATTGGTGTATAATATAATGTCTATACAAAGTAGTATATCTCATCGACCCATACCACATGATTTTAATAAAATAGAAATATAATCATTAATTTTGGAAAACTTCTTCATATACAACATTCTGAGTATCTTCCAGAGGATTTTTTTTCATCGCAAGTCAGTATTTTAATCTTTGACGACAAAAAAATAGTCTATATATAATGTATCAAAGACACATATATATTCAATTCCAAACTATACTATGCAGCCTTACAACATATTGATTGCAACTCAAATACTGGGGGCCATAGTAGTGATAATGGAAATGATGAGCATTTTCTTGGGTGAGCAATGCATAGTTTTACACTTATCAAGTCTTTTAAAACATATGCCACGTACTAATCTATAAAAAATACACTAAGAGCAGAATAAAACTAATAAGTTTCCACAGACTTAAATATGCTGCCCAGACCATGCGTGATGAAAAACAGGCTTAATGCATACACTGTATGTCTCAGCAGCTGGATCCTTACTCTAATCAACTAAAATACTCCACCATCATTGTATCACTCATTTCTTTAAAACTACATATACCTCACTTTTAATATTACATTAGTTGTTCACTGCAAAGTGTTTCTCAGAAAATGCTTTTGAACCAACGTGATAACATATACTCCCTCCATCAAAGCTAGTGGATGCAGTAACTTTATTAAATCTACTTCTAATCCAAAAAAGAATCTAGTAAGGAATAAAAAGAAATTGCTTTGGGTCTTAGCAATCCAAATAGAAAAAAAACATATGATCTGTTGCTCATTATATTAAAGATTCTTGTATGTTTTCTCATGCTCCATCGGGACTTTCCTTTAGCAGAAACTATGGTCTTTGATCATCTGCAAACCTCATTAGTGTGATTGTAATTATACTAAAATATGGTATAAATTAAAATAGTCTTATAATGAGCATAAATATAGTCAAACATCACTTCAGTAATGGAAAGTCATCTCCTTATAGACTTGAGGTGGTGACAATTACAAATTGAGCATAAAAGACAATCAAACACCACTTCAATAACCCCCCGATAACGTTCATATCTTCTTGTCGTCTTAAAACTATCTACTTTGATTTTATTTCTCCATATTGTTAGGAGAACTTATTGAGAAAAATGGCAGCCAACTTTCTTCAATTAAGAAGGGAGGGGGATCTCAATAATCCTAAATGGCTAAATTAGCAACAGAAAAGGAATTGAAAAAATAGTTAGAATTTATAAATCCTTTTTCACTAACCTTGTGATGGGTCTTTGTGCTGGTATAGAGTGAACATTGTTGATGATGTATTTCATAGTTGAAGTAATAAGATTTAGGATTAGAGAAATACCCCTATTGTCCTCTTTAATTAAGGACAAATGAACATGGATGAGTTCCTTAAATCTGATTAATCAAATCTAGTGCTCTCTTGTTGTTCATGTTATCCATTCCAAATTTTCTCCTCATAAGTTGCTTTCGTTGTCTCCTCTTTAATCTCAGTGGATCTGAACAAAAAAAGGTATCTTGAAGCATGGACTCCATAAGCCATCTAATCCAAAAGATTTTGGAGTTCTACAGTTTTTTACACGGAAAAACTTTCTAAGAGCTAGTTTCAAATTGCTTATAGGAATTAAAAAAAAGTCACATCAAATTCTTCTCTCCAATGTAAATTACAAAATCTAAACACCATGTTGGGAATGTTATTAATTTTAACTTACTTTAGCCATAAAATCGTCCAAAATGCGCCCCCACCTACTCCAACTTTAAAGAAGAAGAAGCTATCGCCACATCCCTTTTGCTTCTCACTGTTATTCATGTTATCATTCTGCCGCTCCTAATTTGCACACAATACAGTCAATGATCAATAACAATGCACCAGATATTTCTATTTTTGCAGAAGGCAGTGACATGGAAGATAGAAGAAATCAAGAGTCCTCTTGTGTAGGCCAATGATCTTATTTTAGGAAAAGATCGATCAAAAGTTAAAATCAATAATAATTAGCTAATTTTGGATTGACTTACAAATAAATAAAAGATTGAAAGAATAATCCATATTCTTCCATAATGCAATTTATAAGTTCATAGATCCATAATGCAATTCATATACAGCAATGGTTTTAAGACAAAAGGATCCCTTAGATTTTGGTATAAATATATGTAAACTGACAAATAAATTTTAAAAATGTTAAGTATGATTTATGATTCATGCCAATTGTACCTTACAAATATTAATAAACCCATTTCTGTTTATGAATTTAAGCTTAAATTGAAACCCATATCTGTTTATGAATTGCATTATGCTAATTTTGGATTTACTTACAAACAAATAAAAGGTTGATATCATACTTAAATTTTGGATTTAGAAACCCATTTCTATTTATAAATCATACTTAAATTGAAATCGATTTCTGTTTATGAATTGCATTATGCTAATTTTGGATTTACTTACAAATAAATAAAAGGTTGATATCATACTTAACTTTGGATTTATAAACTCATTTCTATTTATAAATCATACTTAAATTGAAATCCATTTCTGTTTATGAATTGCATTATGCTAATTTTGGATTTACTTACAAATAAATAAAAGGTTGAAATCATATTCTTCCAAAATCTAACGGATCCTTTTGTCTTAAACCCATTTCTGTTTATCAAAAATAGAAACCAATGGTTGTTGACTTGTTGTCCATTCCTTAGCCTAGAAAAAATTGTACTCCCTCCGTCCGGAAATATTCTTCCCGTGTTGACTTGGCACGCTTATTAAGGAATAGTAAAAAAAATGCAAAATTTTTAAAAATGCACATACCATAAACTTTTAAATCTTCTTTTATTATTACAAAAGTACTAAAAAAGTAGATTAGTGATAAAATAGAAGGATATTATTGAAATTTATCCTTAAAAAGCATACTAAAAAAAGAAATGGGAAGAATATTTCCGGACGGACCAAAAAGGAAAGTGGGAAGAATATTTCCGGACGGAGGGAGTATTGAACTTCTCGAAAAGGAAAAGTTTGAAATGCTAAGAGTAAATTTTATAATGCTAGAAGTAAATTATTGAAGGGAGACGATGCATATTTACTATTTAGATTGTAAAGTAACATGGTATCAACAATCAGTGATTAGGAAATAAACAGTAGTAAATGGGTATATGCAACTAAAAAGACAATGTAACTTGGACAAAGAAAAATGGCAAGGCCTAATGACAAATGAAGTTACTGAAGTATTTTTTAAAGGCTTAATGAGGTAGTTTAAGGCTTTACTCTCTTGATTTCAAGCCAAATGAAAAATGATGAATTAATATCAACACTAAACAAAACTCAAACTTATTTTTGGTGATAAATATACAAAATTGATGAAATAAATATGAAATTGATAAGGTGATATACATAAATGATAAGAAGATATATTTGAAACCCTAAGTATGAAAGATAAATGAAGAAATTTATGCTGAAATTCAGATATACCCTGGGTCAGCGGCGAGGAAGATGATGAGCTGTTGGTTGAACAGATCTGTCCACTTTAACATCACCCATTAATAGAGTTCCACAAATATATCCTATATTTGCAAAATTTAAAAAAATCAGTGTAGTAAAACAAAAACAAAACATGTTAAGGAATCAAAATAAATTGGATTGATTAGGGTTTACTTAAAAAAATGGATCTAAACAAAATCCAAACTTGTTTTTGAGAAGAAACGACAAAATTGATAAAAATAAATATGAAATTAATACAAAGATATATAAGAGTATAAATGGGAAGATGATAGATTTGAAACCTTAATTACGAAATTAAAGAAAATGAAGAAATTGATAATGAAATTTGGATGTACCGCAGCCATGGTTTTAATGTGGAGGAAGATGATGAATGACGACCGGCCTCTACTGCGCAAAGGATGAGATTCTGATGCGCGGTTATGTGAGAGTGAGAGAGGGCGATGAGATGGTGGCGTGCAGTTACACAGTAATTGGTTTAGATTTTACTATATGTAGTTTTCAATCAGTTGGGACGGAGTTCTAAAAAAATACTGAGGCCCAAAATATTATTGGCCCATTCGTGCTATAATTGGCCCAGTGTTTTAGGCGGGAATTTTTTCCTGCTGCCAATATATATATATACTAGACTCGTACCCGTGCGATGCACGGGCTATTAATTGACAAATAATTACTCAATATTTTTTTTGAAGTAAAACTCAGTATTTTTAATAAGGAAAAAGGTTATATAAATTGAAAAGGTAGAAAAAAGAAGGATTGTTTTGGAAGTGTTATAAGTTTTGAAACACATCTTCATAAACTACATTCGTAATTTGGTTACATGAATGAAGGTCTTTATTGCAAATCAAAATTTTTAACACTTTCCGTGTGTTGCACGGTATGAATATTTAACAATTATTTTAAAGAAACAATGAATAAATTTCACTCCATATGATATAAATGAATTAGATTCAAATAAAGTGGACGGGTGAGAAATAAAAAAAAGAATTTATACGATAGAAAAAAACTTATAAACATTTGAGTTAACACCAATAAAAATAGAGGCCAGTTACCATGACATCGAAATTAATGTCATGGGATAACTCGAGGGTGCTCATGTGCACCGTTCATAAAATTGATGGTTCCTACCTCACTAATCCCCAAGTACCAAAAATCTTATAAGCATTATTTAAATATAAATAACTTAAAATAAAAAGAAGAAAATGGTGTTATCTCGTCGTCTGTAGTTTTTTGATTACATGAATTAAATCGTCTATGGACAAAGTTATCGTTTTGATCCTATCCTGATACTCTATTCTCCAGATACTAATCTCTTTTGTTATTAGCCGTCCGACTTCACCATTGTCAACTTTGAGAATAGATCAAACTCATCTCTCTCTCGCCTAAAAAGAATCCAACACACGGAGTATTAAAATTTTTTTTAGGCATTTCCAAAGTACAGAAACTTCAACAAACATATATAGATGATCTTAGATCTTGAAAACACATAAAACCTCACCTCAAGGAAATTAAATTTTCAATTAGTAACAATTATTCTACCACTAATCCAAATATGCTTAAAAAAATCTAAGTTTCTTTTGAAGATCGTAAAAAAATTTACAAAAAAAAAAAGAAAGATGGAAACATGCATATAATGCAAATTTTAAATTGAGAAAGAGGAAGGGAATTTTAAATTGAAAATTAAGTAGCTAAACACTGAGTCTGTGAACTTCAAACTATTATCTTAATAGAAGCAAAGAATAAATTTATGACTATTGTATTCCCCCAATTGACAATCATTACATGGTTAAAGATATTACCCCATAGTGCACATAAGATAGAGAATATTTTTTAATAAGTGTCTTAGTAAAACTGAAATCAACTCATTTCAACAGGAGGGAAAGCTATCAAAAGAGATAGTAATTAAAAAGACCCAAGCCTCTTCCTATTTTTCTTGGATTGCACCAGAAAGTTTCTGTGAATTTTTTCAAGGAAAGGGGAGGCGGTGAGTTCAGGCATTGACATTCAAACCTTCCTAAAGAAGTTAATAGAGATATATATGTATAGCTTTTGATACAAAGGTAAAGAATATGAGCGAGTTTTCACTCTATTAAGAATGAAAAATTAATACAAACCAAAAAATTATATGGTAAACTCTACCTCAACATGAATATCACATAGTCCTTCCATATGCCTCAACACACAAACTGATGAATCAAGTGAAGTATTCATCTCAATTTCATCCCTACAATCTCATAAAAAGTCAAAATAATCTTGAGTGTTGAATTTAGCTTTGCCTCTACAATCTCATTAAAGACACAAATAATCGTAATGAAACACAAAATGTAATAACTCAATGTAGCCACATACCCTCTTGATAAACCATCATATGCGCATTTTAAAATTCATAGTGCATAATTTCTAAACAAACCTATAAATAAAAAAAGCTAATACAAAAGAGAAGAGAACATTACTTAATATTCGGTCAAGATGCATCAACATTCAGCAAATTCATTTTGAGGTTTCAGATAAAATTAAAAATATAAAATAAATATGAACAAAGAAAGATATATGACCGTAGATTACTGCCTATGTCCAACTCTATCAACCTCTGCCTAGGAACGGAGTCCATAAACTCAGTCTGAATCCATGTTTTGGAGCCAAATTAAATTGAATTGGAAATTAAAGTTGTGTAAGAACCTGACCTTCTTCGCCCCAGTGAAATCCAATTGTTGTCGTCCTGGCTACTTTTGAAACCCTTGGCTGGCAAAGGTTTTCGTCGCCCAGTTTGCAGAGAGAGGACCAAAGACTGGAGAACAAATTAAACCTTTAAAAATTAATTTATACACAGAAATTAATCTGTATAATGTAATAAAAAGAGATACTGAAGAAGCTTCTTTGGCAATGATGAGGTAATATTTATTGTGTAAAAATTTACATTGTGCACCAAGGTTTGATTGTATTAGGTATTTCCAAACTACACTTTAAAACTTTAACAAAACATATCTTGATGATCTTAAACATTGAAAGCACATAAAACCTCACATCAAGGCCATAAAAGTTTCAATTAATAATAATAATTATTAACTACTGATCCAATTATGTTTGCAAACCAAATCTTAGTTTCTTTAGAATATCGTAAAAAAAAATCAAAACAAGCAGAATTAAAGGATTATGTATTGAATGCTCGAGTTTTAAACTAAGAAAGACAAAGGGAAGGATTACATACCCAAAAATAGTCCTTTGGACTTGAATAAGCTCTCTGCCGCCCTATAAAAGAATAGCCAAATCATCCTACAAAAGTTTCCAAATCATTCACAACCAAATCCAAACATAAAACTAAATCATGGATAATTTGAAAAGAAATTGCAACAATTTTCTCAAAAAATAACAAAATACCTAGAACTAATTTTAGACCAGCAACTGATGCAACTCTTCCTTCCAAATAGCATTTTCAACCAATTTCGCTTCTAATATCGTCCGTGTGATGGATTAAATGAGAAAAGTGAAGATTACTCTGGCCTAAGCTGCTACCATTGAAACACTCAGTACTATAACCTTAATGGAAATTAAATTACTAATTAAATTTAATTGCCTTAACAAAAAATAGAGCATCTAATTTGACATGGTGTCAAATGGAGATGAAGAAAATGTAATATTGGAAGATAGATTCTCTTACCCGTCTTGTCTATATACCATACACCCATGCTTTAGCCGGATCTTTTTCATGCTTTTAGGAGATTGAGATGAAATCTGGCTTCTACCGTTAGAGTATTTGGCCGGAGCTGCATAATATCAGAGATCTAAAATACTGGATGAAACGCTTGAAGCTGCAGAATATAAAAGATTATGTAATCCATTGAAATGCACCTGGTTGAGCTCGTTGACTTCTCATTCATCGCAGACCAATCGATGCACTGTAATTTCCGGTCAAAGCCCCTCCGTGCCGCCAGAATCCAGCCAGGCTAGGGTTGAAGGTTAGCCGGCGTTATTGTCTCCCACCTTGTTCGTCCGAAGTCCCTGTTGATAAAATCGAAGAGAAAAGCGTAGCCCCCGATAAGAAAAGCGTATAGAGCACAGGAGATTAGCTTACAAAAGAAGCTGACAGGAACACTGTTTCCAATTGGTCAATTTACTGTTCCAATTTGCCTCGTATCTTTGTATAGATAGAGATAGAGATAGAGATACAGATTAGTGTCATCACCCGGGACCTTTGAACACTGCTTCCTCCATACCCATCCAAGCCACCACTATCCTCCTCAGGGCATCACTCGTTTTGTGAATTTGGCTGCAATCATTATACCATGAAAAATGATTTGTGGCCATTGAGTAAAAACAGCATATATAGCTAAACCTAAATGTTGTAATATCCCTATAATTGAAGTATAAATACCAAAAATACCCCGAACAAACTTCTGCCTTAAGATGCCATTGCTGATTTCCTGGACCATACATCTCTGTTACTCTGTGAGGCAATTCTTCGAACACATATTGAGCATAGCTCGAGAAGTCTAGAAGCCAAACCCGATCTAATTTTTATCTACAAAATCACACATATATGTAACTAAATCTGCAGATTGATGAGTAGAAATCATGTTTCATTCAAGATCACAGATGGAAGCAATTGAATGCATGAAATCTTTGGCTGCTAAAAAGGCTTCCTCATCAAGTAAAACCTTCCCAATGTATGGCAATCTCAAATCACAATAGCTTCTCATTCTAACCCTGAAATCATTTTAAAAGCTTTTCGGTGCTAGCAATTGAATAGAGCTCCTAACCTAAAGTTAGACCAAAACACAACTAAGAGTAATTTAGCTCGTCAGTGTTCTAAGTTTACCTTCCCAGGTGCTTGATTATTATGTTTCAAGATCAAATTCTTCGGTTTTAAATGTTAAAATAAAACCTGATTTTGTCTAGTTCAAAATAGGAGTTGCTCAAAATAAACAAAAAAGAGATTTAGATTAAGCTTACGGTTGACTCAAGCGAATGACAAACAAAGAGAGCACCAACAAAGATGAAATTCCAAATCAAGCACCAACAAAGATGAAATTCCACGGCAATTGAATCCAAAAAGGCATCAAGAACAAAACCCTAGATTAAACGTTTTACCTTTTTGAATGTTGTATTCGGAAAGGGTCCGGCCGTCTTCAAGCTGCTTCCAGGCGAAGATCCGCTGATCCGGCGGAATTTTAGTAACAAAATGCTACGATCGAGATATGTACTTCTTTATAAATAAGGTTGAAATTTTCTTTCTTCAAAAGAAACTGTATGCGGGAAGCTTCACCGTGTCATCCGTAGAAAGAGTATGCAGGAAGCTAATGGGCGGAATGTGCGGTCCAAAGTGATGCAGCTACTGTAGCTTAACAAATGGGCGGGAACACTGTTCATATTATCATCTTACCATTGTATATAGTAATATATATATATATATATATATATATATATATATATATATATATATATATATATATATATATATATATA